CCTGGCGGCCGCCATGTTGGGCCCGGCGCACCGCGCGCTTCCGCTTCCGGCCCCGCCCCCGCGGGCCGACGGGAGGGGTCAGGGGCGGGAGGGGCTCTTAAAGGGGCTGCGCCCCTGGAGGGTTTCCAGGCTGCGTCCTCAAGGCGCGGCGTAGAAGGAGGAGTGTTACGCGCGTCCCGACTCCTGGGCCGGGTCAGCGTGAGACCCCGCCTCGCCCAGGACTGGGCCCTACGGTGTCCTTCCTCAAAGCGCCCGCGGTGCTGGGCATTGTTCAGGTCCCGGGCCCTGTGTACCTCGGCTTGGTTGGGTTGCCCAGGTCTCAGGATCTGTGCTTCCTAATCGCCCTGCCCCGGAGCCGCGAGGACCAGGGCGGGGAGCAGGGCCCCTGCTACCTCTCTGGCGTCCTGGGCGCTGGTGGTGGAAGTGCTTATTTGCAGTACTGACGATAGAAGCCAGCCCTTCGCACAGGTCGGCATCTGCAGCCCTTTGATTTTTTTATTTTGTGACAGGGTCTCACCAAGTCACTAAGTTGCCACTGCTGAGCTAAAACTTGAGATCTTCCTGCCTCAGCCTCCCAGAGTGCTGGGATTACAGGTGTGCACCACCGCTTTTGGTTTACTATGCTGTTTTTAATTTAAAACGTCTATGCATAATTACTTAAGGCTTGAATTATGGGAAAATTGAAATGTACAGTACTAGTTTAATTTTAAACTTCCTATTTTAAGTGCACGTCTTCATTCTCTCTTTTCCTTCCTCTTTCCCTTTCTTTCCTTCTTTTCCTCCTGTTTATCCTCTTTCCCACTCTTTCTCCCTCTTTAAAAACATATTTATTGAGAATTTATTATGCGCCCATCATTAGGCTACAGTGCAAGACCCTAGAGAGGAAAATGAAAAGACGAGAATTAGGCACTTAGGTTTGGTAAGGAAATGACAAAGAATGCTGTTTGATATGTGTTACAATAGAAATACCTACTAGTTAAGGTAGTTAGACATGTGTTGTTTCGTTCTGTTTTGAAATAGGGGCTTGCTGTGTTGCCCAGGCTGCCTCAAATTCCTAGGCTCAAGTGATTATCCTACCTCAGCCTCCGCAGCAGTCAAGATTGTTGGAACACCACCGTTGAAAACCTTGCGCTTGCAAAGTACTAGCTCTAAGACAGAGCTACAACTCCATGGCTAGGGCGTGGGCTCTGATGAAGTACTTAGGACATGTGCACAGTATACAGCCAGCACTGCCCCATGGCCTCATCCCCAAATGAGATTTAGGGAAGGCTATTGGTCAAGGAGACAGTTAAATTCAAGACAAAGATGCAAGTATCTGTTACACTTTTCATCTTGTGATAAAAGAAAGCCAATTTGCAGTTCGACTCCCATTTTGTATTTCCAGTCTCCTGAAACTAGGACAGAATCGATGTTTCTCTGCTGACTGCAAGGGTACAGCTGACCTTGGTATTTGTGTCAATATGCATGTAGATTTTGAACAATTAACTTTGAAAATGCTTATGCTTTGCTGATTAATCTATTACAAAACCTACTTTTATAATTTAATGATTACCTCTGCTCTCTCCCTGTAATTAAAAAGAATGAAAAGTGAAAGTAAAAGAGACAAAAAACCTTAGTTCTTGCACTGCCTCTGTGCTGAACAGCCAGTGCTCTTTCCCTGTCCCTGACCCTTCCCTCCCTCCGCCTCCACCCTCTGCCCCAGGGAGCACCCTCTGTCCACAGTCTCCAACTCAGGAGGCCTCCACTCGTGTAACTGCTGCTTTAAACTTGCCCAGAACTTAATCCCAGTGTTCCCACGCCAAAGTTATCACATAGAAATTTGTATAGGAATTATGAAGCATTCTCAAGAAAGCCCAGCTCAGCAGCACAGTCCAGGGTGGAGTTAGAGCAGAAACAGGGGAAAAGTGACCAGGGTGTGAGCAAAAGCCCTGGGGCATGAGCGCCCCCCTTTCATTCCTGAGGTTTTGTAGACACCGTATAATAGGTAGTTCTACTTAGAGTGACACCTTCCCTTCCAAGGAAACCAACCTGACTCCTATGTCTGTGTTTGGAACAGAAACATCACGACATAAAACACTTACTTTACCAGGCTTGGTGATGATCCCTGTCATCCCAGCTCTTGGGAGGCTGAGGCAGGAGGATTACCACAAGTTTGAAGCCAGTCTGGGCTACATAGTGAGTCCAAGGCCACTTGCACTTTGCAGCAAGACCCTGTCTCGCAAAAAGCAGTTACTCTGAAGCCTGCCTTTTGCATTTGATTATGATGGGCATCCCCCCACCCCGACAAATTGGTGATAGCAGAGCTCTGCCAGGTCTTAGTCCCGCACTTCTTCAAGACACCTGGAACTGTACTGCAACCTCGGGGACCCTGAGTGTGTGACCCCATTGCCCGGAGGGTCACATGGAGCTGAGGCCAGCTTCACCCCTGTGAGGCTTCACCAGTGTGCCCAGCATGAGGACCCAACACTGAGCAGATCAGAATCCTGCCCCTCGTAAAGCAACAGAAACAAAGGAAATTGGCCTTTCACACTGTAGCCACCAAAATTTTTTTTTCTTTGTTTTTTTCTTGTTTTTTGTCTTTTTGAGACAGGGTCTCACTGTGCAGTTCAGGCTGGCCTTGAGCTCACTCTGTAGCCCAGGCTGGTCTCGAACTC